CAGGCGTATAAAGTCATCATTTTTGTATTATTAACTTTTAATTTATAGCTCTGGAAAAAATCAAATAATGAAAATAGAAATTCGGCTTAATAAGATTTTTTTGTCCAAATTTAATGCTTTGTAAGAATTAGTCATGGATTTTATGAAAAAAAAAATTCTTCCTAGGTTGCAAGAATAAATAAGGTAAAAAAGTCAGTTTTCTGTGTTATTTAAGCGGCAAAACTTCAGATTCGATGAGGGACCTCTTAAAATAGAAATTATGAGCTCCGCTTTTAACAGAATATTTGTTTGGACATATTCTACGATATTTTGGGTGGAGAGCAAGAAAAAAAATATATCGAGTTTTTTTGGCACACCCTAATATAATATATAATATATAATATATAATATATAATATATAATATATAATATATAATATATAATATATAATATATAATATATAATATATAATATATAATATATAATATATAATATATAATATATAATATATAATATATAATATATAATATATAATATATAATATATAATATATAATATATAATATATAATATATAATATATAATATATAATATATAATATATAATATATAATATATAATATATAATATATAATATATAATATACAGGGTGTTTCATAATATATGCGCAGGACATCAGGATGTGATAGCTCATCCAAAAAGATGAAAAAAGTCGCTATTAACTTACGCTCTAAAATGCACAATTTTCGAGATGCAGGGTGTTGAAATTTTAGAAAAAAATTCGTTTTTTTCGAATATCTCCGGAACCGTTTATCGTACAAAAAACAGCTTTTGTAAGCATTTTCTACTCAAAATAAGCTACGTTTCGTGCCAGAAAAAATGTTTTTTTCCTCATAATTGGTGGAGATTTTGAAGGGGTAGCGGGTGTTTTTCTCCTTAACTTCTACGCCCCTGAAAAAAGTACGGTTTTGAGAGGCCCTACACAAAAAAGGTACTCTTGGTCATAAGCTCTAAACTTGACCGTTTTCGAAAAAAATCAACTTTTATGTTTAAAAACATGGTCAATTTAAAAAAAAAATAATTTTTTTTTTACTAATTAAACAAAATTTATTTTAACATTAGAACAAGTAACAAAACCAAACCATAATTGCAAAATAAAAAATGATTCAAAAGTAGGTAACTGTTGTCTTTGCTAAATACTCCAAACCGTAAAGGTAACGCATTTCGCACATTTCAGCATTTGTGTAAAAAATCATTTTTTATTTTTTTTTTTAATTTTGCAATTATCGTTTGGTTTTGTTACTTTTTCTAACGTTAAAATAAATTTTGTTTAATTAGTAATAACAAATTTTTTTCAAAAAATTGACCATGTTTTTAAACATAAAAGTTGATTTTTCTTGAAAACGGTCAACTTTAGAGCTTATGATCAAGAGTACCTTTTTTGTGTAGAAAACATTGGCGGTTCGAATGGGCCTCTCGAAACCGTACATTTTTCAGGTGCGTAGAAGTTGAGGAGAAAAACACCCGCTACCCCTTCAGAATCTCCACCAATTATGAGTAAAAAAATTTTTTTCTGGCACAAAACATAGCTTATTATGAGTAGAAAATGCTTACAAAAGCTGTTTTTTGTACGATAAACGGTTCCAGAGATAATCTAAAAAAACGTTTTTTTTTCAACACCCTGTATCTCGAAAATTGTGCATTTTAGAGGGTAAGTTAATAGCGACTTTTTTCATCTTTTTGGTTGAGCTATCACTTCCTGAAGTCCTGCGCATATATTATGAAACACCCTGTATAATATATAATATATAATATATAATATATAATATATAATATATAATATATAATATATAATATATAATATATAATATATAATATATAATATATAATATATAATATATAATATATAATATATAATATATAATATATAATATATAATATATAATATATAATATATAATATATAATATATAATATATAATATATAATATATAATATATAATATATAATATATAATATATAATAGGGTGGGCCGAAAATCCGCTTTTTTAGAATTTCGTTTAGTAATAGCAAAAATTTTGTTCATTATGTTGTAAAAAAATTTTGTGTAAAAGATTAAAATTTTCGATCAACATCCTAGGCTCGCCCAACGCAATTAAAGATCAAAATGTTCAAAAAAAATTTTTCTTAATTTATTTCGATCGGAAATTTTATGCTCTACACAAAATTATTTCAGATGGATAGTTTCAGAAATTTGTTCATTATGTTGTAAAAAAAATTTGTGTAAAAGATTAAAATTTTCGATCCTCATCCTAGGCTCGCCCAGCGCAATTAAAGATCAAAATGTTCAAAAAAAAATTTTCCTAACTTAATTCGATCGGAAATTTTATGCTCTACAAAAAAGGTCCTTACACTAAATTACTTCAGATGGATAGTTTTAGAAATAAACCCGATTTTAGTATCAACATTTTTTTGAACATTTTGATCTTTAATTGCGTTGGGCGAGCCTAGGATGTTGATCGAAAATTTTAATCTTTTACACAAAATTTTTTTACAACATAATGAACAAAATTTTTTCTATTACTAAACAAAATTCTAAAAAAGCGGATTTTCGGCCCACCCTAATATATATGCTAGGTAATATTAAATTTGCTTACTTATGTTATAATAATTATTAAAGCCAAAATTGGTTTAAAAACTTCACATTAAATTTGATATAAACGCGCACGGTTCTTAAAATGTTTTAAAAGTAGGAGATTGTGCCCCTTTGACGGTACAATCGATACCGGGCCTTATTAAAAATTTATCCAAAACAATTTTACGTAGCTTAAAATTTAATCTAAAGATACATTTAAAATTCTGTCTGCTTATATAAAAGGAAGCCGGGGCCGAAAAGTCCACGTCAAAAGTTATATCTTAAAATATTTATACCGCAAATATACTCTCTTAAAATGAAATAGTCAATATTCTACTATTTGAATTAGTACCAGCATTTTTTACTAATAAAATAGTCGTTTTCACTTTTAAATAGTTATTTTTTACTACGTAAATAGTTTAAGTTTGACTAATTTAAGATTAGTCACCATCTTTGACTATTTCTGAGAGTTAAAAGTAACTAATTTCTTTAATCGTTTACGGCCAACAACAAAGTATTATTTGAATTAAATGCATATACCTCTCCATGGTTAAATGACCCATAAAACAAATAAAGATGCAAAAAGTTTAGCTCAAAACAGCAACACAAATAATATATTAAACTTTAAAATATTATGAACAATATTTATTGACAAATAAAATTGATTTTTATAAGAGCGGCTGACAGCCGAATGCGTTATGAGGTTAGCTTGACAAACTTGTCAAGTGACAGACCTGAATTCAATCCCAGGCTGGGTCAAAACTTTTTTTAAATTTAAATTTACTAATTTGACGCTACGACAATTAGTCAAATATGACTTATAACACTGTGCGACAAATTTTGACCTTACAATTTGAACTGGGATGAAATGTGGAAAAATCGAATCTATGCAACCCCCAAAACTAATCTTTAAAGGGGTTTTGCTAGTTTAGCTCGAATAATGGAGATATACAGGGTGTTTCTTTTAACTTGAGACAGCTCAATATCTCGAGAAATACGCATTTCACGAAAAAATGTCTTAAATAAAAGGTTAATGTGACTAAAGGGGACATTATTTGGTGCTACCGCTAGCCACCCCCTACCCCTCCTTAAGGGTGAAACGGGGGGTAACTTTGAAAAGTCAAATGGAATGACCCGATTTTTTTCACATAGTTTGGTAGTACATAAAAAAATAAATAACTTTTATTTAAAACTTTTTTCAATTTATCAACAGATGGCGATGTAATTCAAAATTTGAGCTGTCTCAAGTTAAAAGAAACACCCTGTATATCTCCATTATTCGAGCTAAACTGGTAAAACCCCTTAAAGGATTTGTTTTGGGGGTTGCCTAGATTCGATTTTTTCAGATTTGATCCCAGTTCATTTTTTGTGTTGCACAGTGTAATTAGTTATTTTTGACTAATTCATTTTAAGAGAGCAAAGAGTTTAGCGCAAAACAGAAACACAAATAATATATTCAACATTAAAATATTATGAACAATATAACAAATAAAATTGATTTTTATAAGAGTGACTGATAGCCTCATTGGTTATGACAACAGCTTGACAAGTTTGACAAGCGACAGACCTGAGTTTAATACCCGGCTGGGTCAAAACTTTTAAATTTAAATTTAATAATTGTATTATTTCATTCAGTAGAATTTGATTAATTATTAGTGACTGCTTTTTCGCTATGACGATTAGTCAGATATGGCTTATAATTAGTAATTTTTAACTAATTCATTTTAAGAGAGTAACTATAGAATTTTTGAGCACAATATTTTTAATAAATACAAAAAGTACACTTTTATAGCAAGTTGTCAAGCAAAAAAGGATAAGGTAATAGATTATTAGATATAATTGCCTTTTCTATTACTTCATCAAAAACTTTTGTATTTTTGTATTGAGATAATAAAATAAATTTTACATTTAGGATTATTTTACAAAAAGGGCACTTTATTTTAACGATTGAATGACATTTGACAACTGTCAACTAATCTAAAACTAACCATAAAGCCACAACTTGTCAATTGGCGTTTTAAAGTAGAAAAAAATTATAAAAAAATTAAAAAATTTAACACCCTGTGTGAGCAACTTTCCTTTCAGCAACTAAATAAATAATATTTTTTAGCAAGGAATCCAATGTTAATTGTTTTCTCAACATTTCTATTATGTATAGTACCCCACCAAATACTTTTGTCATTTTTGTTTTGAACTTTTAAGATAGGTAATTAAAAACTAAAATGCCATATTTAATGATAAAAATAAAAATTTAATATTGTTTCCTAAAAATTTAAAAACTTGTTTTTGTAAAGATTATTTAAAACCCAATAATTAAAATAACGAGATTCGAAAAATTATTATTTTAATGTCAAAAAAATTATAATTACACAATCACTAAAAATCTTACTTGATTTTCACTGTCCGGATCTGCAGCGGCATCCAGTAGGACTTGCACCAATTTTGTTTGTTGATTTTGAGCCGCCACGTGTAAAGGTGTGTTTCCATTAACATCTTTGGCCTCCATGTCGATTTCGTGGGCTAATAGTAGTTCTGCAACTTCGCAGTGGCCCCTTTCACAAGCCATGTGCAGGGCGGTTCTAGATTCCTAGAAAAAAAACACAAGTTAAAAAAAAATGGTTTGCGCACCTTTGCCCATTGCATACTCTTCCTTTCCTTACCCTATATTTTATAAACAATTTTAAAATTTAATTATTATTATAACATGTTATGCATTAAATAACAACATTATGCATTAAATAACAACATTGTTGTCTTTATTTTTTTAAGTAACTTTGTTTTAATCAATTTAATTATAAATATTTTAGAAGTTTTCTTTAAGGTCTTTAGTGTGATTATCATACACGGAGAGATATGTATAGTAAAATTTACTTAAACAAATTTTTAGGGTAACAATATTATATATTCGTCAATACAATATTAAGATCGCAATACAAAATACTATTTTTTATTATACAATTTTAGTAAAGATTACAACACCAATATAACTAAATCATAAATGTCTAATATATATTTTAATTTTTAATATGTTCGAATAGTAAATTGATTTTACTATCTACAAATAGTAATATTTACTATATGATTTAATCAAATGTAAGGTGTACATCTAATATTATAATATATTACACATTAATAAAAATATAGTTAAAATAAAGATACTTTTATGTTTAAGGTAAATAAACAATATATTTAAATATAATATACAATATAGTAACTCATGACATTTTAAACATTCAATTTTCTTAGTTTCTTCAATAAACTTTCTTGACCCATTACTGGTAATACTTATAAGAAAGAATTGAACCTACTTGGTTGCATAGTATGTACCGATTGCGGCAAAGGCCACGTCGCGACGCGTCGTTAGACGGTGTGGATCACGTGATGTTCTTACATTTCGCCTCTGTTGGCTTACCAACCATGTTATATAAGCTCAGGTATTTCTTTGTTTTGGGTGTGTTCCACTACTACAAGTTGCTCGACAGTGCCGTGTCGACACTGTGATACCCAATATAGGTCAAAACACCTGTCTGTCGGTATTTGAAGTTGAGGTGTAGGTTCAATTCTTTCTCAAAACGTTTTTGTATAATAAAAGTACAATAAATATGTTACAATTTTTAATTGTTAACATATAAAAATATTCGATTTTAAAATATTTTATCTTTAAAATGGCAACATAATATTTTAAAATTAACTATACTTATTAGTAATGGAAAAAATCTAATTATAATAAGAATTAAAAACAAAATTGGTTGAGAATAATAATATTTTACCTTTAGGTTTAACATACATTTAAAAATTACTAAATATGCATAGTATCTGACAAAATATACACGATAGTTGTCCCAAATAGTAATATAAATTATAGTAAAGGGTATTATAATACTTTTCTCTACGTGTACCTTATTTTCATAAGAAGTAGGAGACAATAAAATCCAACAAAGAAATTACTTTATTCTTTGTAAACCTAATCCGACTATTTAATTTGCTCTCTCTGGTCTGGTTATATTAAATTTAGTAAATTAAAACCTTCTTTCTGTAAATATTTAGAACAATAAATACCCACAGTTTGACAAACACATAACGCGCCAAACCTGCCACCTATCTGCCTCGACATCAGCGATTTATACCAAACTTAGAACAGTTGTATACGAGGTATTTATACTACTCCAATTTTAATCAAATTAAGTGACTCGTTTCTTATATGGTATAGTAATAAGCTTATATCATTTTTATGCTGCACATCATGGCCTACTTTATTTTTTATATTAAAAAAACATAACCTCAAAGTTTCGTGGAAAAATAAATATCGATTTTGTAAGATCAGTGTAAATAAGTCGATTCCTACACAGCTATGACCACCACAAAGGTCAAAGTGTGGTTATAGCTTATTTCAATAATTTGTAATAATAAAACCTAACTATACTGAATTAAAGGGTATATGTATTTGTATTGTAACGAAGTTACTTTTTCCCTATTCCTATCCTGTGTCATAGAATCCCGATCCGAATGATTTAAATCACGTAAGTCAACGACCCCCGGAATTACCCATATGTAGCACTACTACCGGAATGACCCGTATGGTAGTCTACGCGCACAGCAAAAAGTAGCCCGATTGTTTACTTGTGCCATTCGCAGAAATTCTAATGCCCGTTTTTTTATAATAATGGACAACAAGGCTGACCTTTAACGTGATTGGCAAATCCTGATGTCGCGATTGAGAAGCGCGCATCCCGCTATAGGAGAAAGACCAGAGGGCATATGTCAAACCAGCCTATCACCTACCTTGTTCCTTTTAACGGCTGAAGCCCCTATCTCAATAAGTCTTCTAACTATTGAGGTATGACCACCCATAGCTGCGTGGAATAATGCGGTTTGGCCCTCGATGTCCACAGCGTCCACTTTGACGTCCTCGAGAGTATCAAGCAAAAAATCCACCACATCCACTCGGTTATTTCTAGCGGCACACATTAGTAATGTGTAGTGTTTCTAAAAATGTTTTTTAATATATTTTGATTAATTTACTGATTGTTTTTTTAAACACTACACAGCATGATCTTAGTTAATTAAAGCATAATATTATAATATGCAGGGAATGTTAAAGATTAAAACAGTTTGATTAATACATTATTTATAAATATAAAAATACATGTATACATATACTAACTGACAAAGAAATTGCAACACCCAGAAGAAGGTGCTCGATTTAAATAATTTTTTGATCAAATATATGTACTATATCAAGGAGTAAACGATTAGAATTTGGAGAAAAAATACCAAGGATTTTCAAAGTTTTTTTATTAATTTTGTTAATAATGTGTTGGTCCACCGTGATTATCTACACACTCCCTAACACGCCTTGGCATTGATTGAATGAGGTGGTCTATTTCTTCTTGAGGTATAGTATCCCAAGCTACCTGTACTTCATGTCTTAGAGCCTCCAAAGTCCTTGGGGGCTGAGGTAGATTTCCTAGCGTTCTACCCATCACATCCCAAACATGTTCTATGGGCGAAAGGTCGGGAGATCTGGCTGGCCATGGCATTAGATTCACGTGGGCCTCTTCAAAAAAGTTCAAACTAACTCTGGCAACATGAGGCCGCGCATTATCTTGTTGAAATATTGGATCCACAAGCCGATTAAGATAAGGGAGAACATACGGCTCCACTACTTCCTGAAGATAACGTTGCGCTGTCATGTTGCCTCTAATAAAGACTAGAGGTGACCTACTTCCATGAGCAATAGCACCCCATACCATAACGCCTACTGTTCGGTGTACATAACGCTCAACATCAAACTGAGGTTGACGTCTTTCTGCCCGACGTCGTCTGACCCTTCTTCGGCCGTCATGTCCATCTAAGCAGAATCGGGATTCATCAGAGAAGACCACTTGATGCCATTCCACGTTCCAATGTTGTCGTTCTGTACACCACTATAGTCGTTGCCGTCGATGCACAGCGGTCAGAGGTAGCACAAGATGGGGCCGATAGTGCAGCAGTCCAAAAGACCTTATACGGCGGTAAACCGTTCGAACACTTAAAAGTCGGCCTTGTTCTCCTAACCACTCATCAGCCAAAGATCGAGTTGTCGAAAATCGGTCTCTGAAGGCCATAAGTCTTAGACGTCGATCTTGAACTTCATTTGTGCGCCTTCGACGTCCAGTGCCTACTCTTCTCCGGTTTTGGGCAATATCAAACCACGCTTGACAACATCTCATTACAGTAGTTGGATTTCTGTTAGTGCGGTTGCCGATTTCACGAAATGAAAAACCCGCCTCCCGTAGACCAATAATTCGGCCTCTTTCAAATTCACTCAGTTGGCGATAAATTCCGCGTACTCGTGCTCTAGGCATTTTAACATTACTAAAACACCCAACTTAACAGTAAAAATTTTTTAAATCGAAAAAAAAACCGCAAAAAACTAGACTAAAACAATTTCTTTGAATCGTGAAAAAAATTGTTTACATGAGAACGACTGCATATTTCTTTACCAAATTTTAATGGTTTACTCCTAGCTATAGTACATATTTGAACAAATAATTATTTAAATTGGACACCTCCTTCTGGGTGTTGCAATTTCTATGTCAGTTAGTATATATGCATGCATATATGTATGCATAAATGTATACATTTACAATCAATAAATCATATTTATTTGTTAAAAATAAGTTAATAAATCCAAACGTATTTTCGAGTTACTGTTTACAAACGAGTTTTTAATTTACAACCTTTTCAAATTATTTAAATAAATAATGTCAAACCATAACATCAAACACGGTAAAGTATTATATACAGGGTGAGTCATTTAACTTGAAACTTTACGAAAAAATGTTTAAAATAAAAATTAAATGATTTGAGGGGGGAAATCAATCAAATGTGTCCCCATACTCTCCTCCTTATAGGGGGAACAGGGGGTAAAATTTCCAATGGAACACCCTATTTTTTATTGCAGATTCGGATCATTCGACTAAAAATAGGTAGATTTTGTACATTTTGGTGAAATGAACTACGTGATCGAATATTATCCGGAAAACGCTGAGCGTAGATATTAACAGCATCATCAAGATTCCTGCCTGCTTCTCCATAAATCAAAATCATTTCTATTTTTCTTCCACTGTTAAAAAATCCATTATAATAACTGCTTAACGAAAGGAGGTGTGTTTGTTTGAAAATTAATCTACGAACTAAATTGATTAAATAATGCTTAACTATAAATAGTTTCTTTATACCTCAATAATAATTATTATTTTTAACTAAATACCATTTTTTATACCTCAATTAGGTTTAAATTAATTAATTACCAAAATAATGTTTTTTAGACCTTTAATGAGGTATTTTTATTAAAAATAGTAGAATAACCCTTTAAATTAAAGGATTTCATGCTGGTAGGTACAAAGTGACCATGGTACGCAATTATTAATTATCACCGAATGAAATAATGAATAAAACTTAAATCAAAGGAAACTTAAATATTAGTTAAAAATCGTGGGTACTTAATAAAAAATCAGATTTAATCTACCAAAAAAATGATATTTTTATAGAAAAATTATTGCAGAATCGTATGCAGAAGAAAAATCGAACAAAATTGATTTTTCTTTATTACAGCGCCGTCTATTACCAATATGAAAATAGTATATTATGTATCAAGTTTGATAAACGCCATTTTATACACGAATTTAGTTTAGACACGAGCTTGCTTGCGAGCGAGTTCTTAAATTAATGAGTGTATAGAAAAGTTTATAAACGAGGTGCATACTATACTTTTTCTACGACAAATACTTATTATTATCTTAAAATGATTTAAATAAAAAATTTGTATAGAGCGCCATCTATGAAACAACACAAACACAATTATAAAGGTTATAAATCGAAATGTATATTGAAAATTGACAGTTTTTCATAGTGAAAGTAAAGGAAATGTTTTATGAGGACTTTACAGTAGAGTCCGTGCCCGAATTTAAGTTATAGTTTACTGCCGGCGAAATTAAAAGGTCGGTACAATGTTCATATAAACTTTTCAAATATTGGCGTTGAGAAACTATTTAATATTTTTGTATTGAGATAGTAAAATAATTTTCACATTTAGTATTATTTTATGACATTTGACAACTTTCAACTAACTTAAAACTAACTTCAGCCCGTGACTAAAAACCTGTTGCTAACTTCAGCCCGTGACTAAAACTCCATAAAGCCACAACTTGTCAATGTCACTTAGTGTCATGGAAACATGTACGATAAAGGGCGTTTTAAAGGTGGTAGAAAGGAGTAGAAAAAATATTTTAGACAAAATCTACCTACCTATTTTTAGTCGAATGATCCGAATCTGCAATAAAAAAAAGTGTTCCATTGGAAATTTTAATGTTCTCCCCATAAGGAGGAGAGTATGAGGACCAATTTTAGTACTGATTGATTTCCCCTCTCGAATCATTTAATTTTTATTTTAAACATTTTTTCGTAAAATGCATACTAACTGAGATATTTCAAAGTTTCAAGTTAAATGACTCACCCTATATACAGGGTGTCCGAAAATAACGTTAATATATGGGGTGGTGATTTAACACGTAAAATGAAAGGAAAAGTTGCTATAAACAGATGTCGGAAAATGCCTACAGGGGGCGCTATAGGTATTTTAAACTGTACGAAAATAATTATGCTTAATTTCTGGGGTATTTTTTGGTCAAGAAATCATTTGGTGGTGTCAAATGATCATAGGCGTGTGAAACAAGGGCTACTCTGGGAATAAATCATCATAATTTTTTTGTGTGTGTTCACTCAAACAAAATAGTAGGTAAAATTAACCACAAAGAGCATATGAAAATGCGTCTACCCAGTTTTATAGTTAAAATAACCAATATTGAATTGTAAAGTACAATTTGTAACCGTACTTTTTTTATTGTTACTTCAAACATTAAATTTAGTTGGTTTACCCATCATTATAGTTCTACAACAAATTAATTGGCGCTGCAGACAAATAGTAGCTAGCCAAACAAATTAAAAGGTATACCAACAATTATTTTTGTTATATTACTTTTTTTTTGCTAAGCAAACATATTCTTTAGTTGGGCATCAAATTAGGTGGTAAGCCAACAATTATTTATGCTATTTAATAATTATTTTTGTTGGATGACTTTTTTTTTGTTTAAGCAAACATGTTCTTTAGTTGGGCAACAAATTAGGTGGTGTACGCTGATATTTAAAATTGATGAAAAATAAAACACTCTTTTCGTAACAGAATTTATTACTAAATTTTTATAATGAACATAATTACCATTGGTCCTACTATACATTGAACAACTATAGTTGTATACATAACAGAATAATAATAATCAATACATTAAATACATACATTCAACATAACTTAAAACTTAATTAAGGCATACTCCTCTTATTTTTAAACTTTCTGCAAAAGTTTTTACAAATATTTATTAAAATACATGTATTTTTAATTTTAAAAAATGTAAAATCTATCTTTTTTGTCAGAATTCCTTCTGCAGACACAGATATTTGTGTCGAGATGTACAACTTTATAAAATTCCCTATGTAGGTACCTACTCCAGTGAAATTAAGATTCTTAATTCAAGATAAGATATTTTTATAAATTATATTTTAAACAGTTATTAAGTAAAATGGTTTACATACACTGAAAAAAGTCAGTATTAATTTTTAAGTTGTAGGTGAATTTGAGGCCAACCTTTTATTATTTAAAACACTGTCTATAAAAGTTAAGAACCGTAATTAATTTAATGAAACATTCAATATTATTATAATAAGTGTTTCCTAACATTTAACTCATAGAGTATTTGGGTACATGAATTTAATGTAACCCTGCGTGTCTTTATTATTAAGACAATTTTCTTTAGGGTAAATATATAAACATTTATTTTATATTGGAAGTACTTGTTTCTTTATTGTTATGAATTCAGGGATTTTATTAAATAATCAAGCTATTATTGTTATAGCTTATATAGGGATAAAACTATAATGCACAATGAATTTATTTTAACGTTAGTATTCGTTGTTTACATTCCTTGCAAGCATCAGAAAGAAATCATAACCTATAACAACAAGTTTATTAAGTTGGTATTGCGTCATTGCTACGAGAGCCTCCATGCAGATACTTTGTACGTTTTGTCGGTTTCATAGAACAGTTTTTTGTGTTTATGGTAGAGAAAAAATGTCATGTAAGGAGCTACTGGAGGGTTTAGGTCTTGTGCACCTTATTCCCAAATTCGAAGGTAAGAGTTTAGACCTCATGTAAATTAATTTCAATTATTTGGTAGGTACCTATATTCATATTTTATAGATACCAAATAATATAAAAGTTAAATATTAAGTAGTTTACTGTGGGAATGGTACATTTGTGATAGGTGACTCTTTGTTATTATTTAGAAGAAGCCATTACGCTTGAAGTGCTGCTAGTCCTCGACTCGCAATGTGTTTGCCAACTTATTTCTAAATTAGGAGAGAGATTTGCAGTCATCAAAAAATTACAGAGTTACGAGATAAGCAGGAGCAATTAATGATCTTTTATTAGCATCAACAGGTAGTATTTTTGTTAACTGTTTTAAAGATGTAGTCAGAGTCGTTCGGCATCGGCCGTATGCGACAGTATTAAATTTCGGCCGATCACGGTGCTCTTACCACAGCCTAAGAGTATTTATTTAGTCCATTTTGTATTTTTATATTCCATAAAATAGGATATAATAAAATTGTTTAAAAATATTATATGCACATTTTATTTCTTATCAATCAAACAAAAAGTATGAAATTCAGGCTATACATTAGTATACATTAGTCAAAATAATTCTATAGTGGAAATGCAAACCGGTGCCAAATCAGCGGATTTTGAGATTTTGTTATTTATGTGGTCTGTACTTTTGTATCAATAAACATTTTTTTGTCTACTTAAAATTATTCAAGTGCCAACATATAAATAAATACAATTTTGATAAAACAAAAAAAAATTAATACCCAAGTACATGCAGATCAAAACAAAATCTCGCAATCCGCTGATTTGGTACTTAGTTTTGCATTTTCACTCTAGAATTATGCCTTAACATTAAGGTCATCGTTATTACTGAAGTACATATTACCTAAAAATGCTGTTTGCTATCAGGCTCCAAGCATTAAATAATAAGACATTGTTTTAACAACAAATACATTTAATGTGTTTCAAAAATAAGCCTATTCTAGATGTTAAGGCAACCCGATGTTTACTTAAAGTAATGATGCAGTTAAAAATAAGTCAACTAACTTTCAGTATTTCAAATCCACCATGCCTTTATATCAAATGCACGTTTCTTAGGCCATATCCGAACCCGTAACTACTTTACCACAAATGCATAGCGTTTATATTTAATGCTAAGTTTTTTCAGTGTACCTTTTAGTAGGTCGAATAAGTACCCAAACCCCCAGCTGGATAGCAAACTTCTTAACTGCGAATCCGATTCTGTGTCTGTCTGTGCCGAGCTTAAAATTGAATTAACCAATATATTTGTAAAATCTAGTGAATCTTCAAAGGGCTCGTGAGGATCCATTTCTACCAAATTTTTACACTTAAGTATATGCACCTCACTTCACCAGAATATTACCTTAGGTCCTAAACACCAAGGCCTTGATTTTCTTACAATTTCCGAGCAACACACACGTTTATTACCGCCCAAATCTACAACTACAATGAGACAAACACGAGGAAGAAGGGGGTAGGCCGGGTACCGAAAACATACGATTTTCTATGGCGGACTGGTAAATCCAATCCCTTAAATAAGGTACACGGACTTTAATGTGTTTACCTAAACACCATTTATGGTTGTTTTTACTGTTTTAATAGGTTCGTGTATTTGTGGGATAGTGAAGTAAACACATTATGATTAAAAATACAATTTAATAGTATTTTTAAATTTAAAAATTGGAAGTTTACAATTATTTTGTTTGATTTAACAAATTAGAGGTGAGATAAACAAAAATAATTGTCAAGAACACCCAGTTTTAGGTAAAAGCTTATTTTGTTCGCTAACAAATTTGAATGTATTGTATTTACAATCACAATATGTTTAAAAATACAATTTTTATTGTTTAATGTTACAAAATTGGCAATATTGTTACTTAAACCCTTTTTATAGTTAAATTAACTTATCATAATTCTTTGAGTGTTTTTGTAATTTTGTGAAATAGTTTATTATGCCTATAGCTAGGGTTGGGACAGTTGAAGTTTTCAAATGAAAATTTCAACTTTGAAAGTTTCAAACTTGAAATATATCATTTAGTTGGAAAAGTGAAATTTTTAAAAATTTCAAATGAAATTTTCAATTCGAAAATTTCAACATTGCCTGTGAAACTGGGACCTTTAATAATAATTTATAACAGATTCCGAATCAACCAATAAGAACGAGTTATCAAGCGTCTGGGCGTTTTTGTTTAGTTAGGCTTGGATTTAAATACACTATAAGTAATTATTGTTACTTATATGCATAAATTAATTTAAATAATTTAATTCAGTTACCAATTTAATTTGTAAATTAAATCAGAATTTAAAATTTTTTTAAAATCATGATTAATTTAAACTTTTACTTTTGCTATAATTGCATCGGAAAACGGATAAAAAATGCCTTTGGCTCATAAAATTTTGATGAAGTTTCTTCAATTTTTGTAAAATTTCAGTAAAATATATAAAAATAATAAATGTATTATATAAATATAAAACAATGAAAGTGGCACAATCTCATTAGCTTACCAAAAAGTGCCATATCTCTCTTAGTTTTAGTAATTTTAAAAATATTTTAAAAGGAAATCTCAAGAAATTTGTGGTAAACATATAGTAAATTTAAAAGTAAACTACGTACACGTCATCAATCAGCTGATCGGGCACGGTTGTCAATGTGATGCTAAAATCCTTGCATCAAGGGAAAGTGGTAGTGCAACTACAGGGCGATAGATGGCGTTTACATGAATAATACCAAAATGTCAAAAGTCTGAGTTTTTATAACCTATATGATGCACCGCCAAAAGTATGTTTTTAGCCATTTTTAAAGACATTTTCTGATATAAAACCCAAAAATTTTGCCATCTAAAGTCAGTCTCTGGTATATATATTATTATTTCATGTATCCAACATATATTTTGTTAAATATTCTAATATATAATTAATAATAATCCTATTTACCTCTCTAACAGCTGTTAAAGGTAACAAAGGTCCATTATTATCCCGTTCTGCCTCAAAATAGCGTATTAAGGATGACACCAACTCTTGACTCCGACTATTTAAATGCTTCGGCATTTTAAATATAGGAAACACAAAACAACGATATATAACAAACACAAAAACGGCAATGAACTTAAACGATATAAAATAACACAAACAACAAACAAAATAAACGAAATAATACACGAATTAAACGAAATATTCAAAAACACAACTGACAGCTTCGAAATTCTAAAACGTCAAATTCTTTTTTATGTGTCATTTAAATATGAAAAATTTGAATGTAAACATGACAACATCACAATTGTTGCCAACTTAATTTGGTTAAAATGCATTCAAATATTCAATTACAGACTTCGATTTACTCATTTAGTGTTGGTACCAATGCGTAAAATTTTTGTTTTATTGATGACGTGTACGTAGTTTACTTTTAAATTTACTATATGTATTTACTATTTATTCTATTGGTGGTCAGGGGCCCACAGAGGGGTAGGAGGTAGATAGGCAATTTGCCATGGTCCCCGAGTGGGCTTATTTCCATATATATAATATATTACACTTAAAGTGATTGAAATTTATAGAAAGTTTCAATACATTTCATAAAATTCATGAAATTTCAGAAATTTAGGAAATTTAGGAAATTTTAATACATTTCATAAATGTCATGAAAATTTCAAGTGAAATTTCAAGTACAAGCAAAAAGTGAAATTTTCCCAACCCTACCTATAGCGCCCCCAGGAGGCCGAGGAGTTTTCCGAAATCTGTTTAAAGCAACTTTTTTTTTTTACGTGTAGAATCACCCCTTAATATATTAACGTTATTTCCGGACACCCTCTATATATGGGGCATTCCAAGCTAAATCAAATGAATGCAATTTGTTTACTCAAACAAAAAAGAACGTAAAACTTTCTGCAAAATGTCACAAAAATGTGATTTTCTGACGTTTAAAAAAAATTTAGTATTTTTTATTTCTAACTTGTTACCTTGTTGGTAGCATTGGAGCATGCTCCAGTGTTAATAAGCATCTGGACGGCCGGCCTGTGTCCATGCCAACAGGCCATCAGCAGCGGTCGCATCCCGTACTGAAAAAGAAAAGAACAAACGTAAAGCACAAAGCCGGTGGTGTTAGTTCGCAAGCCACTTATTATTCCGTCGCCTGACTTAATGTAATCAAGGCAAAGCTACCAGTCTTGACGTTCATTCACGATAAGTTTGTCTATTGATTTGCTGGTTGGTAAGGTCAGGAACATTTTTTATATTCGATTTTTGCAGCAAAAGTGTAGAAAAATTACTAATTTAAATAGTTTTTATGAATAAAATACTTCGTAATGAAATAAAATGATATTTAAAATTTATTTTTGTATTATTTTCTAGAAACTTTTTAATAAAATAAAATGAGTCTAGAAAAGTTTATAAACGAGTTACATACTATACTTTTTCTACGACAAATACTTATTTTCTAAATATTTGTATAGAGCGACATCTATAAAACAATAGAATAATCATTCTTGGAATCAGTATTCTTGGCGCGCCGGCAAAAATGTCAAATTTTTATGTGTAAATCGAAAATGGACCGTTTAAATCCGATATAGAAGCAGTTTATCACAGTGAAGTAAAGAAAATATTTTATGAGCACTCCACCCGAAAGTTAAATTTAGTTTACTGGCGAAATTAAAAGGTAGTACAAGGTTCTTAAATATTGGCGTTGAGAAACTACTTAATACTAGATAATAAAATAATTTTTACATTTAGTATTATATTACAAAAAAACACTTTATTTTAACGATTCTATGACATTTGACAACTGTTAACTAACTTAAAAATAACTTCAGCCCTTCACTAAAAACCTGTTGCTAACTTCAGCCCGTGTCTAAAACGACCTAAAGCAATAACTTGTCAATGTGTATTTATAAAAGGTCATGACTCATGAATCATGAGAACATGTACGATAATGGACGTTTTAAAGGTGAGTGGAAAAAATATTTTTAATTTACCTGCACAGAAAAGTAATCTCTTGATTTTACTATAAATAAATTATTTATTTCGATATCTGCAAGAAGATATTTATTTAGTGGAAAACTTGGGTTTATTTGACTTTTTAAACTGATATTTGGTTAATACAAGTAAATATCTAGTTGACTTTTTATCTCGGGTTTAGTAGAAGCTTACTTAAATAAACAAAACCTACATCCAAAAAATTTAATTAATTACTCTAAATAAATATTTCTATACAATTAAACACAACAATAAGTTGTTTTCAAGAAACTTATGATTTACAACCAAATAATAGTATTTTCTTATTGTAAACAACAAGTTACTACGAATAAAAAAATTTTACTTCATACAAGAAAACCTGTTTCAAATAAATGCATTTTCTTAAATCAAGAGATTACTTTTCTCTGTGTGCAAAATAGTTTTATGGTTGCATTTCTAAAAAATCCATATTTAAATTGTTTATTGTAGAAAAATAGTTATTTATGTTTCAAGGCAGTAAAGTATTTTTTATCACAAATGTGGAAATTATTTTCCGAGGCGAAAGCCGAGGTGCATATTAAATTTTATCCGAAATCACATTTTAAAATACTAGAAATTAATATTGATGATTATTTCCCTCATTATAATATGAACCAATGAAAAGCCTTGAATTTTCTAATAAATTTCGTTTAAATAAGCGATTAAATGACTAGAACTATTTAACAGCGATTAAATTTTAGCCTCCATATTGGACTTTTGTTTTAACAAACATTTTTTAAAAAACAATAAAAAATAAGTTATCTAGTTTACGAAATATCAATTATTATCTACTTATTACTAGGGATGGGATTTTGATTATTTTACCTTTTTTCAACCGATGTAACTATTTTAAAACCATTAATGCCAAAATGTGTTTTAAAAGATTTTCTTTTATATGAACCTAACTTTTTTTTACCTTTTTTACCTTTTTGGAGGTTTTTGCTTTAAAATACCTTTTTAATACTTTTTTTACCTATTTTTTTAACTTGTTTTCACCTTTTTTACCTTTTTTTGGGGTTTTTGCTTTAAACTACCTTTTTATACCTTTATTACATATTTTTTAATTTGTCAGTTTGTTTTCACCTATTTGTTACCTATTTTTACCTATTTTTAATTATTTTTATGTGTTCGTTTTAAATTTTGCGCCAATATTTTATCCAGGGCCTGCAACTCAACGGTATAGATTTTTTCTTATGGTCACAGACTGTAACATTTATAAAAAGTATACTTTCTTTGCAGTTATCTTCTTTGTAGTGAGCTTATGTTCTGTCATAGAACTTCTGTGAAGTGAGTGTCACTCAGTGAAACACAGTTTATTGCATATAAATAGTTTATTGTGGGTATGTTCTGTGTTTGGGTATGCGGCTAAACAAAATTATAAAAAATGCCCAAAACCAAAGAAAATCCTCAGAAAAACTCAGCAGTTGGATAGAGGGGACGAATAAGATTTTTCTATTGACGGAAAAAACTTATTTTGTAGTTTGCTGTAAAATTGTAAGGACTTTGAGTTTATGTTAAAACATCTTTCTTTAATTTATATACATTTTAGCTATCTGTTTGTTACTCTAGTAGTAAATTTGGTAAATATCAGGTATTCCCTGTTATATTTTCAGTTCCTTATAGCTTTAATTAACTATTGGTCAGTTTAAAAAAAATATATTTTATGTTACTTATTTTATAAAAATAAACGAAACTTGAACTTTTAATGTTTTTTTTTACCTAAAATGCTGTTTTTTTAACCTAAAATGCTTTTTTTAGTACCTTTTTAGTTACCTATTTTTCAGTTTTTCTACTTATTACATACCTTAAATTAATGGAATTTTCTATAAAAAAATATTTATAAATTTTGACACATACGTCAGATTTTATGAATTGTCAAATAGTTTCCTTTAATTCGAGAAATAATCTAGACGTATATCACTCAACCTATAAATTTAATCTGTCAAACTATGCTCAGTAAGTTTTTTATTTGATTTTTCTTTTTGGAAAATAGTTTCATGCAAAATAATTAAAAATAAAACCCCTCGACCGCTACGCGGTCTCGTGATTTTATTAAATTATTTTGCATTCAACATTTTCCAACGAAAACCAAACAAAAAACTACTGAGCCTAGTTTAACCGATTAAATTCATAGTTCTCGTGATATAATATATGATTAAATCATTGATTCAAAAAAAGTATTCACTCCATATTTTAGCCCTCAATAACTACCTACCATTCCACCCTGCTGCTATTGGGTATATTATTCAATTTTTGGATTCTTCTAAAAATTGTAGTCATATTTTATGTACAATGTCCCATACCTATTTTCAACTGTTTCGGAAAAAAATTCACATTACGATACTTATAATTATAATTAGTTGATTAGAGAAATTCGAAACAACAGACATGATCATGTGTGTTCTAGCAAATTCGATATGGTTTTAGCAATGAATATGTCAAAAGTTTTGTATACAAAACCAATAAATTGCCTTTAAAATCTTTTTTGTGTTCGACGTAGATAAAGTATAGATGCATGCAACTCGTTTTATAAACTTCTTCAAACTCTTTCTTTTATTAAACACTCGCAAGCTTTACTCGTGCCTAATAAAACTCGTTACCAAAATGGCGTTTATAAAACTTGAGTCATAATAAACCTACTATTAAACATTTATTTAATTAAAAAGTAAACCTTTTAAGTCATTATTTATTATGTGGCCCGTTTAAAATTGACTCGTATTAAAAAAATATACGAATTAAATTAACGTGATTATTTTTATCCGAGTGGCTTATACAGTTACTTAACTAGTAAAAACATGGCTTTTGTGAAATTATATGGATTTTCATTTGCTCTAATTCAATTTGTTAAGTAAACAGTTGTGAAAATATAATATTCCATTAAAATTAAAGGTGCATGTTATTTACGTTATTTACTATTTGTATACCGGGAAATTACTTTTTGTGCCGGCCTTTAATTTAATTAAAACATTGTGTTTTATTCTAATTGGATGCACAATAATTGGTGCATACAACTTAGAATAAAACATAATTATTATCATTCTACACGGTTTTTAAAACTTTTGTCTCGTCCCTTTATATACCAAAAATATAGTTAATTTCAAGCCCTTAATTTTAACATTAACACATTAGTTTTAAATGGAAAATAGATGAAATTTATTTAACTAATTACTTTTTTTCTTATAACTCCGACAATAATTGATTAAACCTAAAATTTGTCACAGTTGTTGCTCATACTGTTAGGAAAAGGCCTGAAATTACAAATTTTATTTTTATTATTTCCTTATACATGGTGATTTTTATAACCTAAAACTTTCAAATCCAGTAATAAGCACTCTACGGAAAAAATGCACATATTCAAAAGTTAATTAATCCTCGGAGGAAATACATTGGTGCCAAAACTTGTTCCCCTTCCCCTCTTTGTACGTGTGGCGAAATCTTAAAAAAGAACCCCAATTTTTATTTTAAATTTGGATTTTAAGAAAAAAAAATACGCAGGATTTGTCCAAAACATTTTCTTAGATTTATAATAGATGGCGCTATAATTGACTTTTTTTTTTATTTCACTCTTTGACCTTCAATATAAATTTATATAAAAATATGAATGGGTGCTTTTTTGAAAAAATCTTGAAGGACCTGTTTTATACACCGGTTAATTTCCCGCACAAATACATACAGGCCTTTCAATTAAGAACTAACCACCCTAATAACTTTTGAGTTATAGTAATTATGATCTTGAGCAAAAACAGGTTGATTATCGCGAGGGGAAAGAACCAATCCAGTGTTAATCAAATGTTAAACTTTAATTTATGGGGCTGGTCTCTTGGTTAATGATTATATTTAAATGCATATTACACATACCCAACACATAATATTCTTTATCTCCACGCGGTCTATAATTTAAACTTTATTGTTGTCAACATTCTATAAAGAAATACCTTATTATGGCCTAGGCCGATAAAAAATTTTATGAGGCAAGTAATTAGTTCGATTTTTTCTCGCTAGGGGTATTGTTTTGACAAATTAATCCTTTTCTAAGAAATTATATTATTATTATTATTATATTATTAAA